TTCTTATTAAAATTCAAAAATAAGGGGCGTCAAAATATTCAAGCACGTTATTGAACTTGGACAGGAAGGAGTCATATGACGCCGTTTATTCACTTCAAACATCCAGTGGCAACCAACTTTTCATCGCCCAGCGGTATGAGAATCTGAAATAGACAAAAAATTGAGATATTAAAAACCATCATCGTTTCGGTGATGGGGTATCAATGTCATAATATCGATTTGTAAAGACACAGAAATTTTATATAATTGGACCGTTTATTTTAAAAGTGGTATTGGTCCATTTTATTAAAAAAATGAGATATCACGTAATTTATTTTTAATTTAGTGTAAACTTTCTATTTATAACTAAGTTGTATTTAATTTCTTAAAAAATGTCAATGCTTTATCCAATTTACAATTAGCCGGTAAAAGAAATTACATAACCATTGATTATGAAAGTGATGTAAGTCCAATTTCCATAGAAAAAAAAGAAAACAATAATGTAAAAAAGGATTTCCTGTATACACTACAGGAATATTATGATATTATAAAACAATGTAAACAACATAATAAATTCATTTTTTATAAAATGAAACTAGAGAATTTCGTTTCAACGAAGAACCTACAGAACGCAATCAAAAAACAGGTAACAAGAAACATTAATAAAAAAAAAAAAGGTAAATTGGTTGCAAATATGTTGAATAAGGTTTTGAAAAAGTATACGAATTCTATATTTTATATAGAATATATATATATATTCTATATAAAATGTTAATGAAAGACACAGAATTTAACCCTTTCGCTACGAGCGTCGCCTATAGGCGACATCCGCGCGCCGTCCTGTGTACACGAGCGTCGCCTATAGGCGACATCATCTGCATGATAGTCTGCTCAACTAGATAAAAACTGAACTAATTGTGTTTCTTGGCCAAATACTTGATATAATGGTAACTCGACGACGCTGAATCGAATGGTGCTAATTTTTTTGCAATTGGATCAAGAGATCTTTGAGAAAAAGGGTAAAAAAGGGTAAAAAAATGCCATATCTTAGAATCTAGGCATTTAATCGAAAAAAGTTTCAAACAAAAGTTGTAGATAATTAAAAAATACATAAAAAATGTTCTAAGGTGTATCTTTGTATTTGCAAAAATAAGCGAGAAATATTGGTGAAATTGATTTTAGGAGTAGGGGACAAGCCACGCCTCTTCGTTGCTCTTTACACGCGAGCGAGCTAGTGTGCGTTATCTTTAGGTCTCTCGGTCGTGAATGCAAGTGCAAGTGAGAAAAGAAATGGATATTTTTCCCTTTCTATTTGTTTAGGCGATAGCGAGTATTTTTGTTTGGGCCATCGATTTTGTTGAAAGTTCTGTATTCAGACAAAGTGTCTGTATGCAGACAATTCATATCCTAGTGCAATCATTATTTTCGCACCGTTCCGCATTAGTTGTCATTTTGTTTTCCTTATTTTCCTTATTCTTCTTCCTATGAAGACGATAATCTTTACATTTCTCTACATTTGTTTCAGGCATCTCGACAACTTTAACAGAAATTTAAATGTATACTGATTCTGGTCAAAAATATCAAAATATAGATATCAGTCCATACTTAATATAAGGGAGTAATATCAAATTACTTTATACATTAACGGGCATGGCGCGGTGACAGCACTTGTTACCTGCTTCGGTCATTTAAGTCAAGCAACGCTTGAGTACGATTAGGACTTGGATGGGTGACCGCTTGAGAAGAAAAAATTGAAATCGCTTTGCCCGCGCATTGTTAAATATCGACAACTTCGTAGCGTCGATTTTTCTGTCGCATCTAACTTCAGTTTACAAAACGCGCCAAAAGAAGTATACCCTCAATAAAAAATACTACTTCTACTTTATTTCTTGTTATTATTTGTAAACAAAATTGGATTAATATGAAATATATTTTAAGTGATATTTGATTTTTCAAAACTGAAATTAAACGATTTTAACAATTGACTAATTTTGAAAGTAGTGTAAGTCCATTTGCAGCCTGTAAATATACATTATTTTAGTTAAATTAGCCTAAAAATAATATATATAATCAAATTACATATCGATAAATTAATAGAAACATTGTCAAATTTGATATAATTAATGATTATTTTTAAATTAACCAATATGCAAACTTTTAATTTTCTCAAAAAAAACAGAAAATGGACTTACACCACTTTCAAAATAAACGGTCCATATATCTAATAAATTATTTAATATAATATATTAAGGTGAATCAAAAAAAAACTTTTATTTTTTTTTTGGATCTGACACACAAAAACTTGTTGCTAGGCACCTTTAGAAAGTACTCACCCAGTATGGGCTCTTAATTTTAATAGGAAGATCTTCCTCATCGCGGTTTTTTATTTTTTTCTCAGTCCAACAGAAAAAAATTCATACCTCCTCATTAATTGATTATACG